ATACTTAATGTTTTCAGTGTGTTAGTTCTGCATTTCATCCTCTCAAATAATTTATTAGTAATATTTAACTGTTACGATTCACCTATTCCATTTCCTAACAAGTTGATACTTACAGCTTATGAAATGCTCACCTTTAGCTGTACCTCATGTTAGAGCCCAGTGGAATTAATTTGCAACCAGTCAAAAGAATATAATAAGGTGCTAATAATTGTTTTTACTTTAACTTTCATCAGTTTCTTGCATTTCCTAGTTTCATATGGAATTACAAATATCCTGAAACTGTGAGAGAATCTGTTTCCCAGATATCCATGGCTCATTTGAAACTACTGAGTATTAGAAGGGTCAATATGGCAAGCCTGGCTTGGAGAAGGACACTTTGGATTGGTGGAACATTTGCTTTGCAGGTCCGGCAGACTTCAGGGGTGGGGCATCCGGTGTAAATAAAAGCCCAGCAGTTCAGCAAGCTGGGCAGATGTGGCGAGGGACTCAAGAAGACCAGAGCCAAGAAAAGCTGGGGAGCTCTCTCCCAGTGGATAATAGGCCCAAGGCTCCTGAAGCCTCCACTGGAGGAGCAGCCTTAGGAGCAGTGCGAGACCACTTAGGCCCATCACGGTGCATGGTTCGGTGCACGGAGCCCAGGCTTTGGGAGCCGCAAGCAGCAGCTCGAGCCTGCAACCCCGGCGGGGCCAGTGGGCCGCACGGTGCGTGGGGCAGTGCGTGGAGCAAGGGCCTTGAGTGCTGCAGTGAGGCAGCTCAGGCCCCATCTCCTGGCAAGCTGCCAGTTCCCACGGTGCGCAGGGCGGTGCTGTGGGAGCCAGGGAGCAGCAGAGGCTGCTTGGGTTAGCCACCTGGCGTGAGAACAGACAGCAGGAGCCTGAAGGGCCCAGCCTGTGTGAAAAGAGACCTTGGTGCCGAAGCCAAGGCACGGGGAAATAGTAGTGCTCCAGCATGAGGCTCAGCACCCAGAAACCAGCAGCAGTGGTGCAGCAGCTGAGAGGAGCTGAGCCCTCGGTGCCCAGAGCGGGGCACAGGGTGGAGAGGAGCCCAGGGGCACAGGAGAGGCCTGGAGAGGCACTCCAGCAGAGGAGACCCCATCGAGCTGCACCCCGACCACTGCCACCTGAGGGAGCGTGAGACATTGGGCCCTTGGGTCCCACAGAGGAAAGACGTTTGGGGAGGGCAAACCCAGAGAAGGGGCTGGGTGAGCAGCCGCCCTGCCTAGTCAAAGTCCTAAGGGGTAGGGGCCATTTGATATCCATCTTTCTGCATTAAAGAAAGAGGGAACTGTTCCTCTGTAGGGGTAAAATCACATTTCCACTCTTATACTTTGCATGACCCTTTAATTGAGTACAGGTTCCCCACTGTGGGGTGGGGAAGCTGTGGGTGTTTTTGTGGATATAGTGTTTTCTTTAGGGGCTGTGGTTAGGAGTGATTTTCCCACATTGTTATTTGGGTTTGACCTTGGTTATTGGTTAATGTTCACTGTGTAAATATATGTATATGATATTTAGTTTTATGTTTATGTATATTATAACTCAATACATTGTATACAGTTAAGAATTTTGGTCTTGGGCTAACTCTATAGAGGAAAGAGGTATCTGCTCGAAATTCTGGCATCCCTCTCACAGCACCCCTCTTGCATACCCATCTCTTCGGTGTACCCAGGTTACATCAAGAAAAACTTGATCCTGACAGGTGTCCAACCCCCACAACTCCATTTCACCAGGCTTGGTAATATTGCATCTCTCCTTGTTTTTAACTATTCCAACACATTCAAACTTTTGAAAATCTGAATCTTTGGATCAAATTATCATCTCTTTCTAGTACAGGAGTGCTCAACCCCTAACCTGAGAGCCAGATTTGGCCTGTGGAGCCATGCCATCTGTCTACAGGGGTCCTGAGTGGCAGCAATTGCTACTCCCCTCGTACCACATTTCTGAACAAATGGGGAGCCTTGTGGGCCAGGCAGCACAATGGATCCACACATGATGGTGGCCCAGGACCAATCTTGGGACACAGGGGCTGGCTGGAGGTGGTGTGGGCTCCAATCTAACCCTGCATGTCAGGTCTCTAGTAGGTGGCACAGGGTTGAGGGAGGTAGCATGAGGCAGTGGGAGGCCCAATCCAGCCTGCGGACTGGCCCCAAGTCTCTCATCTGGCCTGTGCTAGCAAAAGGTTGAGCAGACATTCTGGTGGGTAGAGTTAAGATTCAGAATGGCCTTGATAAACTGGAGGAATGATCTAAAGTGAATCAATATTCGATAAGGAGAAGTGCATGGTCTTGCACTTAGGATAGAACAAACTCGTACACTGGGGAATGACTAGCTAGGCTCTAATCCATAGTAATAGGAGTCTCTCTAGCAAACCAAGGGAAACGATTCTTCTCCTCTGACACTGGTAAGGCCTCATCTGTAACACAGTGTCCGGTTTTGGGTCCCACACTTCAAGAAAGTTGTGAAGAGATTGGTAAGATTCCAGCAGAGAGCAACCAAAATAATTAGAGGCCTGGGAAATACGACTTATGAGGAAAAGCTATTTGCATTGCTACAAAAGCAGGGCTAATCCAGCCCAGCTGTGAATGTCCCCTGCATGCAGGTGGAGTAGGGGGGAATCTCAGCACAGAGTAGATGTAGCTGCTGTCACCCTCCATCCCGTTGTCTAGTGGGGCTGCAGCTAGTCTTTTGTGCTTTGCCTAGTCTGATCAGGAATGCTGCCTGCTGATGTAGTTTAGAGTCCTCATGGTACTCTAAACTGTGCTGAGATCAGAACTGAAGTAGAAGGGATCCAAGAACTGTTATTACTTCCTTGGCACACATGTTAAGGTGAATTTTGCCAGGTGCTACATATAGGGAAGAGAAATAAAAAATAGAATACAAAACTGGTGACACCTGGCTGGATGGCCGGCCGCAGTACGGAGAAAGGTCTAAGAATCTTGGTAAATCACAGGCTCAATATGAGTCTTCAGTGTGATGCAGCTTCACAAAAGGCAAATGCAGTTTGGGATGCATCAATAGAAACATTAGGTGCAAGACATGACAGGTGATAGTGCCTCTTTACTCAGCACTGTTTAGGGCTCATCTAGACTACTGTGTACAGTTTCAGGCTCCATGTGTTGAAAAGGATCTGGAGAAGTTAAAGGGTCCAGGGGCAGGTGACAAAAAAGATAAAGGGCTTAGAAGGCAAGTCATACAAAGAAATGTTGAAGGAGCTAGGCATGTTCAGCTTGTGGAAAAGGCGCTTAAGAGGGGACATGATAGCAGTCTTCAAATACCTGAAGGACTCCCAGTAAGAAGAGAGAAAGCACCTTTTCTCTCCCAGTGCAGAGACTAGGACATGGACCAATGTCTTGAAGTTGCAGCAAAGTAAGTTTAGATTGGATATCAGGAAAAACCTCCTCACTGTTAGAGCGGGGAAGCAGTGGAATGAACTGCCTAGGGAAGTCGTGGACTTTCCATTACTAGAGGTGTTCAAGAAGAAGTTGGACAGGGATTGATTAGGAAGGATCTGGGCAAAACTAGGCCTATGTTCTACTTTGTGTATTTTCCCAATCTTCTAGGTTTTGCTGGTTGCCAAATGGGGCCAGGAGGCAGGGTTTTTTCCCCTCCTGCTGTTAAATGTATAAGGGTATTTTTAAGTCTTCCTCAGAGATATCGGCTGATGGCTGCAGCCAAGGCTGGGGATTTTGACTGGGGTGTGCCAGTGCTCCTGCTGGGACCTAAATCCAGAGCTTCCTGGCTAGCAGGTTTTGTTCTTCTGTTAAGATTCAGACCAATATTTCGGGTCAGGAAGGAATTTTACCCATGGTCAATCATCATTGACTCCAAGATGAACATGGGCCGACAATGCGAGGTCACGGTCGGCAGGGCTAACCGGACCCTATCGTGCATCCACAGGGGCATCTCAAGTAGGGCCAAGGAGGTGATCCTCCCCCTCTACACAACACTGGTCAGGCCACAGCTGGAGTGCTGTGTCCAGTTCTGGGCACCCCACTTCAAGAGGGATGTGGACAACATTGAGAGGGTCCAGAGGAGGGCCACCCACATGATCCGGGGACAGCAGGGCAGACCCTACAATGAGAGGCTACGGGACCTGAACCTGTTCAGCCTTCACAAGAGAAGGCTGAGGGGGGACCTTGTGACCATCTATAAGCTCACTAGGGGGGGACCAGAAGGTTTTGGGGGAGACCTTGTTTCCCCTAGCGCCCCCCGGGATAACAAGGAATACCGGCCACAAGTTGTTGGAGAGGAGGTTTAGATTAGACATCCGTAAGAACTACTTCACAGTTAGGGCGGCTAGGATCTGGAACCAACTTCCAAGGGAAGTGGTGCTGGCTCCTACTCTGGGGGTCTTTAAGAAGCGGCTTGATGCCTACCTGGCTGGGGTCATTTGAGCCCAGTTTTCCTCCTGCCCAGGCAGGGGGTTGGACTTGAAGATCTACAAGGTCCCTTCCGACCCTACTTCTATGATTCTATGATTAGTATAGACTGTGGGGGGTCAGAGGGAGGGTGCCCCCCATTCTGTGGTCTCTTAAACATGTTTTAACAACCTTTGCAGCAGGACAGTGGCTACTGTGGTCCCCCTGCTTTAACTGTTGCAGGTTAGGGTATTATGTCTTGTGGCTGTATCAGGGTTGACTGTAATTTTGCTAATAGGTTAGACAATAGATTTGTATGAGATGATTTGGATAGGGATGATCCTACTTCAGGCAGGGGGTTGGACTCGATGAACTCTTGAGGTACCTTCCAGCCCTACTTCTCTATGATTCTATATGAACTTGAGCACAGGACAAATCTAGTTCTATGAGGCTGAAGCAAACCTAGTGGTCAAAAGGACTCTGAATTCCAGAAACATAGCTGATATGGACATCTGGACTTATAGGTAAAACAGATATATGTAAATATTGTACAGGGAGCTCATTAAATACATTATTAGTTAATAGACTGGTAGCGACCTAGGAGGGAGCTAGAAATGTAACAAGTCTCAGCAACACCTAGACCCACCTCAATATCATGACTGAGCTTCTTAACTATGCTTGTAATGGTCTGTATATGATTTTCCAGTAGTTGCCGTGCAGTTGCCTCCCCTTGTTGATAGTTCTTACTTCCATGAAGGTACGAAACAATGTCATCTTTGATTCGAAAGGCCTGATCTAGGAGAAGAGCTGTGGTTCTCTCCTGACTTGATAATCGATCTTCTAGAAAAGTCGCTCTGTTACCAGGCATCACTGGAACTGGAGGAAGGAAAGACTGTTCCCTGTTCAAAAAAAAAAGTATAAATTTATTTTATGAATGGTGCTGAAAACTGGCAAGTATTGGAATACAGTATGAAATGCACTAAGTGGATAAGGTCACATAGCAAGTAAATGTACCTGGGAGACTGGTAATGACAGAGAGGTGTCCTTACCCTTTAGAAACTTCAGGGATAAAAACATTCCCTGGCACACAGGGATGATAATCTAGACTACACGGTATAAATAAGGTTTGTTTTCATAAAAACATATTTGAGCTCTCTGGAACCCAGACTATTTTATTTTCTCTCTGATTCTGATTCTTGAGTAGGTTCACTGCTTGTGACTGTAAGGCAAAGAATTAATAAAGAGTGCATCCCATCCATCCCTTCAGTGAAAACAATAAGAGAGCCTTCATAAGGCACAGCCCAACATATGTCTGAGTATTTGAAACTGAGCAGTTAATTCTGTTAATGCCCCTGGACAAACACATCACAGTCCCTCTTCTCAGAGGCTCAGTCCTACTTCCACGGAAGGCAATGGCAACATTTCTTCATTATAGAATGAAGCTTGCCGTGTAAAACAAAGAAACTGTGACACAGGGTTCAGCCTGCATGGTTCTCAAAGGATGTGCAACACAGTAGACTGCTGATTCATGACGGGGGCTCCTGGCTGCTAGTGCAATACAAGTAATATCCATCCTCTTCCTCATTGTTTAATCTCTATATATCTTGCCAAGTAAAGATAGGGTATAGAACAGTGTATCTCAGCCTTTTTAGAGTTGAGACACCCTTCAAAAATGCCAGCTCTTAGTTTTCACTCTTTTTTGTTTTTGTTGTTGCAAAGAACTCAGACCACAACAGGTTAGAATGTTTTTAATACTATGGATTCCCATGCGAAAATTCTGGGTTTCTCTTTTGAACCATGTTTGCACACCTAATGGCTGTGTTCACACAAGCATGGATGGTTGGTTCCCTGGGGACAACTTGCAGCGGTGCAACTTGTGCTACCACTAGTTGTCCCCGGGGAACGCCCGTGCCATGGGTAAAAAAAATCCGCACGCTGCTCCCTTGCAGTGCGGAGAACAGCTGAATGTGTGGTATATGGTGCTGCAAATGTATCTGTGGCACCACATACTACATGGCTGCGCTCACCTGGATCCGGCCAACAGCGCTAACATTGTGTGGCACCCTGCCTGCACAACACCCTGGTTGAGGATCACTGGTAGAGAAATAAAATGCTAGACTCATTTCATACTTTCCCTAAGAATTTTTAGTGCTTCTAAAAAGTGCCAAATGGACAGCCTGGAAGACTGGAGTCTTCTAGTAATCTGCAAAGGATGTACAACAGAAGTAGCAGTGGTGTAAGCTTCCTCCCTCTGCCCTGTCAATATGTCTCGGTTCTCACCTGGACAGAGCACCTCCTAGTTTGAGAGAGCAGCTCACTTCTTGCTACTTCTAGAAGATGCTAAATGATGCCAAGTGTGGTGGTGGGTTGCTAACTTTTAATGCTGGCACTTTTCCACTAACAACTAGAAGAGCAATGGGTGCATTCACACGTACTAACTTTCAGACAGCTAAGCCAGCTAAACTGTCAAAGCATACACACGTGTGGAGCAGAGTTGACTTCAATGTGGTGCAAGATAATATACCTCTGAGTTGTCTTATCTTGGGTTGCATTAGTTGAATTTCCTTGTTTTAAGTTGACTTAGGTCGTGTGTACGTACCCATAATGTGCAGAGTTTGTGCCTCGGGCAAACCTGCTGAGCATTGATATCAGGGGACAGGCACAGGAATCCTACATATGCAGGGAACTCAAAAACAGTCTCCAGCTGCTGCTGCCACAGCTATAGAACAGTCTGCCTGCTCTGGCTTTTGGTCTCTCAACAGCAGTGCAGTATCCATGCACCTATTGTTGGGGCTCAAACTCTGTGGGGGTGAAGCCCATGGTTTGTGCCCATTTGCCCATCCCAAGTTATGGTCCTGGCAGCTAGACTCACACCAAAACTGTAATATCTCTACTGTCTTGTCAAGAAACGGAAGTAGGAATGCAGGAATAATGTCAGACCCCACCAAATCCCCCACTGAAATGGGGTGGAACAAACAAACCAGCTGATTAAGAGTTAAACTACATGGAAGTCTAGTGCCAGAAAGGAAGATGAATAAAATATACATTTGAAATTGACAGCTTAATTTAGTAAGAAAATTTAGTAAGATATGCAATATCTTAAATATGCAATATCTTATACATATACATTTGAAATTGACAGCTTAATTTAGTAAGAAAATTTAGAATATCTTATGATATGCAATATCATAAATTTAGTAGGATATGCAATATCTTATTAGATCCACTAAATAGTTGGAAAAAATGGTTCTTTGCAAGCTTCGGGCACAAAAGGAGGGTGCTAATTTCTGGCACAACTGCCAAAAAACTTCAATTCCCAACTGATTTAGAGCACAAACAGAGCAACTAATCATAGCAAGTTAACAGAGATGGGAATTTACCATGTCTTAGCTGTTTTATGGTGGATCTTTGTGTGCCTATCCTTACCCCATGGTAAGCCAAAGCTAAATCAAGGTAGCTTAAGCCTGTTTCACTGAGGAGGTGAATGGACAGACTGATACAATATGGAATCTGGTCAAGACCTCAGGACTCACGCTGCTTCTCATACAAAAGTCTGGGAGTCTTTTCTTAACTGCCCGACCCTTGAATTTATATCTTACCCAAGTGGCCAGCTTTATTTTGTGTTCCTTAAATTAAGCCCAATACCATGTTTGTCTTTATCGCCTATATCCCAGACACACACTCTTTTATAACATAGTTTAGCCACAATCCATAACTTCATGGTAGAGGAAAATTCCCAGGCAGTCCTCTGGGGAAGAAATCAGATGTGTTTTACCTTATAACGATCTCTGCTTTTAGACTGCTATAAATAAAGGCTCTTGTATAAAAATAACTTTAAAACAAGAAAGAAAAGAAGAAAAGAGTTCAACTGCCCTATGCAATCAATATACAAAATGCAAAGATGACAGTTCAATGACTGAAGTGTGCCTAAGGATAATCCACAACAAAATTTACAAGCATATGGACTATAAGGATGCTCTGCAGCTGGCTCATGGTGGCGTGTACAAAAAGCTACTTTACATTTATTTATGCAATTAAGATTTAAAAATAAATGCAATCATTGCCAGCCATGAAACGGTGCCAAGACTTACATTTTTATTGTCAATCACTGCTCAGAAAAAATTTTAAATATCAAAATGCCCTCTTGACATAGCATACTGGGCTTCATCAATGGCTACAGAACACAAGTCACAGGAGCCTGACAACAAATCCTGATGTATAATTGAGATTTAATTTTTTGTTAGTTTTATATCTGTATCTCTGTATATCACACACGATCTTCAGCAAAGAAAAGGACCTAAGAATCACCATTAATTACGTGAAATACGACCTCTAATAAACTCTATATTGATGTGTCAGCTGTCTGATCTCCATTCACTGATCTCAGATTTTTGCTAGAGAGACCATAATACTTGAGATTTAGGGTTTTGCTCTCTTTGGTTAGCGTTTTGATTAGCTTTCTAGGCATGCTTAAATGTGGGCTGCCTCTTTGCTATAGTTCTCACAGCGTTTCCATGATAAGCTAAACTGAAAACCCAGGGCTCTTTGTTTGTCTCACCTTTTATACACCTAAATTTCGATTCTGTCCTAATGGTATTGGGAGTCACATGACTGACTGAAAACAATACCCACTGTTGATAGCCTCTGATCAAGACCTGTTTCTGCTCTGTCACTCACTGGTTGGGGGCCCTTGAGCAAGTCACTGCACCTCCCTGTGGCTCAGTTTTTCTAGCTATAAAGTAGTAAAAGGGTAATTTACCTCCTTCATTAAAGCCTGCTGCAATTTATCTCCCATTTACAACAGTGAAAGAATGTGCACACAGGTAGTTAGCACACAGCACTTGAGACTTGGTAAAGCCTCACCCCTTTTTTACCCCACAGTAAACTTAATGTGTTCATAGCCCCAGAGTTAAATTAGTCTTTGCTTGGTTCTCCTGGAACCAAAAACTGATGGCTGCAAGCATCCCAAACTAGCAGTTCTAAGACAATGCAAGCACTAAGTTTTTCTCTACTGATGTGAAATTGTCCCTGGAGCAGAGAGGACCACAGCTTGAAACCTCTGGCGTCTTCTGGTGGAAACTCTCAAACAATGATCAATTAAAAGCTAAGCCTCTGAAGTGATATTGAAGCTTCAGTAGTCTAGGAAGTATGTAAGAGGCAAAGATTATTTCTGTGAGTGATAACTTCTATTTTATTCTTCAGGTCCTTGAAGAAGAATGTATTGCATTGGCTAAGTCTATCCCAACCATGCAGTTGGTTTGACAGCCTTCTGAATCATGGAGTATGCCTGAGAGGTCACCCAGACCTTTGACACATATGCTTAGTCCAGAGTATGGAGGAGTGGAGGCTGCCCAGACCTTTCATCCCCACTTTAGGTCATTGAGACAAAATCCAAAGGCCAGACTGAGTCTAGGCATTTGGTGCCTCCATGGCTGTAGCTGTATAAGCATTGAGGAATTGAAGATCTACCACACAGATGTCCTGTGTGATAGATAAGGATTCTACCACTGAGCCACAGAGACATCATGCAGTTGGCCCATAAAAATATCACCCACAGAAATCCTGGCCTCTCAGCATGTTTCTGTTGTTTTAACCCTTTTCTCTCTGCTTGCTCTTTTTCTGTGGACTAACAATATTCTGTGTGGAACAAGCTATTCTTTGCCACTGCATTTTCAAACTTGTTACAGCTCTTAGAGCAAAGCTTCTCAATTTTTTTAAACTCAAGGCATCCCTTGGAAAATGCCAGGTTTTAGTTTTCACTTGTTTTTTTGAGTACAGAAAAATAATAGAGCAATTTCTCTGTTGCAAAGGACTCAGAAAGACAACTATGGGTCAAAATATTTTTAATACTATGGATTCCTAGCTGAAATCTTTGGGTTTCTCTTGTGAATCATGTTTG